TGAAATATATGAGGTTGCCATAAGTAGACAGGTGACTTTAAATCACATTAGTATTGGAAGCTAAGCAGGGCCGGCCTTGGTTAGCCATTGGATGGGAGACTAACAAGGCTGTATATCAGAGGAACTGGCTAAACCTCCTCTAAGAAAACCCTATGAAATATATATGAGGTTGCCACAAGGGGACAGGTGACTTTAAAGCACATTAATCTTGGAAGCTAAGCAGGGCCGGCCTTGGTTAGCTGTTGGATGGGCGACTGCCAAGGCTGTATATCAAAGGAAGGAACTCCCCTAAGAAAACACTATGAAATATATGAGGTTGTCACAAATGTACAGATGACTTTAAAGCACATTAATCTTGGAAGCTAAGCAGGGCTGGCCTTGGTTGGCTGTTGGATGGGAGACCACCAAGACTGTATATCAGAGGAAGAAACTGGCCAAACCTCCTCTAAGAAAACCCAATAAAATATATGAGGTTGCCACAAGTGGACATGACACTTTAAACCACATTAGTTTTGGAAGCTAAGCAGGGTCCGCCTTGGTTGGCCGTTGGATGGGAGACCACCAAGGCTGTATATCAGAAGAAGAAACTGCCCAAACCTCTAAGAAAACCCTATGAAATATATGAGGTTGCCACAAGTAGACAGGAAACTTTAAACCATGTTGGTCTTGGAAGCTAAGCAGGGTCAGCCTTGGTTGGCCATTGGATGGGAGACCGCCAAGGCTGTATATCAGAGGAACTGGCCAAACCTCCTCTAAGAAAACCCTATGAAATATATGAGGTTGTTACAAATGTACAGGTGACTTTAAAGCACATTAATCTTGGAAGCTAAGCAGGGCCAGCCTTGGTTGGCCTTTGGATGGGAGACCGCCAAGCCTGTGTATCAGAGAAATAAACTGGCCAAAACTGTAAGAAACCCCTGTGATATATATGAGGTTGCCATAAGTAGACAGGTGACTTTAAATCACATTAGTATTGGAAGCTAAGCAGGGCCGGCCTTGGTTAGCCGTTGGATGGGAGACTACCAAGGCTGTATATCAGAGGAACTGGCTAAACCTCCTCTAAGAAAACCCTATGAAATATATATGAGGTTGCCACAAGGGGACAGGTGACTTTAAAGCACATTAATCTTGGAAGCTAAGCAGGGCCGGCCTTGGTTAGCTGTTGGATGGGCGACTGCCAAGGCTGTATATCAAAGGAAGGAACTGGCCAAACCACCTCTTAAAAACACTATGAAATATATGAGGTTGTCACAAATGTACAGGTGACTTTAAAGCACATTAATCTTGGAAGCTAAGCAGGGCCGGCCTTGGTTGGTCTTTGGATGGGAGACCACCAAGACTGTATATCAGAGGAAGAAACTGGCCAAACCTCCTCTAAGATAACCCAATAAAATATATGAGGTTGCCACAAGTGGACATGACACTTTAAACCACATTAGTTTTGGAAGCTAAGCAGGGTCAGCCTTGGTTGGCCGTTGGATAGGAGACCGCCAAGACTGTATATCAGAGGAAGAAGCTGGCCTAACTTCCCCCAAGAAAACCCAATAGGGTATATGAGGTTGCCACAAGTAGACAGGAAAGTTTAAACCACATTAGTCTTGGAAGCTAAGCTGGGCTGGCCTTGGTTGGCCGTTGGATGGGAGACCGCCAAGACTGTATATCAGAGGAAGAAGCTGGCCTAACTTCCCCCAGGTAAACCCAATAGGGTATATGAGGATGTCACAAGTAGACAGGAAACTTTAAACCACATTAGTCTTGGAAGCTAAGTTGGCCTGGCCTTGGTTGGCCATTGGATGGGAGACCGCCAAGCATGTATATCAAAGGAAAGAATGGGCCAAACCTCCTCTTTAAAAACCCTGTGAAATATATGAAGTTGCCACAAGTGGACAGGTGACTTTAAAGCACACTAATCTTGGAAGCTAAGCAGGGCCGGCCTTGGTTGGCCGTTGGATGGGAGACCGCCAAGGAAGAAGCTGGTATAACCTCCTCCAAGAAAACCCAATAGAACATATGAGGTTGCCACAAGTGGACAGGAAACTTTAAACCACATTAATCTTGGAAGCTAAGCTGGCCTGGCCTTGGTTGACCGTTGGATGGGAGACCACCAAGGCTTTATATCAGAGGAAGAAACTGGCCAAATCTCGTGATAAGAAAATCCTATGAAATATATGAGGTTGTCACAAGTGGACAAGTGACTTTAAAGCACATTGACTTTGGAAGCTAAGCAGGGTCAGCCTTGGTTGGCCCTTGGATGGGAGTCCGGCAACAAATTCCAGGAGAAGGAACTTGAGAATTCCTTTCCAAACAAAACCCTAAGAAATAAATAGGATTGTCATGAGTCAAGAGTTGACTTGAAGGCCTTGACCAGACTTGTGTCCCATTCAGAAAACCTATGGGAATAATTGTGTTGGCGAAATGCATTAATATCCAAAATTCTAAAAAAAAAAGCTATATCTTTATAGGCCTAAGGGGGAAAATGCATGAAATATGTGCATTATTA